GGAAGAGAAAAGGGAAAATGCAATTGGAAAATCAATCAGCAGAGAATTTCAAGAACTGGTTTTGGCCATGTTACTGTTTTATTAACCTGTTTTTAAGGGACACAGGACTGGTTTTCTGACCAAGTGTACTCTACTGGTTCTGAATAAAATGTACACAGTATCACCAAGCATTCAAAGCCCTTAACTCTGTGTCTGAATTACTTTTTTTTTTTTTTTTTTTTTTTTTGAGATGGAGTCTCACTCTATCACCCAGGCTGAAATGCAGTGGCACAATCTCAGCTCACTGCAACCTCCACCTCCCGGGTTCAAGCGATTCTCCTGTCTCAGCCTTCTGAGTAGCTGGGACTACAGGCGCATGCTGCCACACCCAGCTAATTTTTGTATTTTTAATAGAGGCGGGATTTTACCATATGGGCCTGGCTGGTCTCAAACTCCTGACCTAGGCCCACCTAGGCCTCCCAAAGTGCTGGTATTACAGGTGTGAGCCACCACGGCAGGCCCTGAACTACATTTCTCACCTGACGTTCTGCTCCACTTCGACATACACATGCAGCTTCATGCCCCTGAGATGAGGAGCTGATGTCTATGCCTTCTTCTCCTCCCCTCTGAGGGACATCCATCTGTTCATCCTCTGCAATGCTCATACCGCCACCTTTTGGAAGTAGTTCTTGGCTGCAAGCTAGGAGACTTTTCCCACCTTGGAGTTTTCAATAGATCTGTAGTTCTTCCTCTTCTTCTTTTTTTTTTTTAATTTCCTGATGAAATGTAACACTCTTTGAATTCTATTTTTCAGTCCTTCCACCATTTTATTATGGATGTGTGCAAATAAGTGTATTACTGAGTCACTAAAATATATGTAAATGCATAAATATATATCTATCAAATCACTGAAATATATATATATATATATGCATTAAGCATTCTAAGGATGAAAAAGGGCATGAGTATTTGAAATATATATACACATATATATGTATATAATTCAGTGATTCAGTAATTATTTACTGAGCATGTATTCTGTGCCAAGCACTTTCCAAAGTGCTTGAGAGATGGCAGGAAATAAGACACGCAAGGTCCCTGCTCTCCTGAAGAGAGAGACAATAAACACATGTTCAAGGAAGTGTAAAGCATAAATTGATTTTCCTTCCTTCCTCCCTTCCTTCCTTCCTTCATTTCATTTCATTTTTGAGACAGGGTCTTACTCTGTATCCCAGGCTGGAGTGCAGCGGTGCAATCTTGACTTCCTGCAACCTCTATTTTCCGGGTTCAAGCGATTCTTGGGCCTCTGCCCCCTGAGTAGCTGGGATTACAGCCTCATGCCACCATGCCTGCTTAATTTTTATATTTTTTTAGTAGACATGGGCTTTTGCCATGTTGGCTGGGCCGGTCTCAAAGGCCTGGCTTCAATTGATCTGCCTGCCTTGGTCTCCCAAAGTGCTGAGTTTACAGGCATGAGCCACGATGCCCGGCGTGAATTTCTAATCATGATAATCGCTATCGAAAGTTTTTGTAAAAGGGATATAATAAAGATGGATGTGTGTGAAGAGGACTACTTCAGCTAGAGTGAACAGGCACAGCTTCTTTGAGCAGGTATCATTTGAACTGAGAGACAAACACTGAGAAGAAGCCAGCTCGTAGGTTCTGGGAGGAGAGTGCTAGGAATGTTGGGCAGAAAGTACTCAAGCCCTGAGACAAGTAGGAGTCTGGCCTGTTTGAGAAAAAGTTGTAAAGTCCTGCAGGGCTGGAGTGCGTGATGAAGGGGTGATGGTGGAAGATAGTCCCGATAACACACAGTTGCCTGGACCATAGTCAATGGAGAGTGTGCATGTGTGTAGACAGTAACATGAGCCAGGAGACATTTGACTGGGGAGAATTTCCACTGCTAAATGATTATGAGCTCCCTGAAGGCAAGGCTATATCTCATTTAACTCCATATTCTGAGCTACTGAGCTGCCTGGAATGGAGTAGGTGTTTGATAAGTATGTTTAATAAATAAACAAATGCATAAATAAATGAATAATGAGTGAATGAATGATCGAGGCCTTCTGCTTCTTCTAAAGCATTTTTCCCTTTAACATTTCATACCCCTCCTCTCTCCTCTCCAACAACAGTTTCTTTTCTTTGTAATAAAGTAAGTCTGGAGTTATTCTCTGTGATTCAATATTTACTGTGTTTCACACACTGTTATTATCATTTAACGTTTACTGTCTGCTGACTGTGCACTCATCACTGTAGCAAACAAAGAGCTCAATCTAGTTTTGGTTCATGGGCTAATTTAGTGAAGAAAAAGGAGATGCAAGTGCAACTGGCATAGTAGAAATTGCACGGACTGGAAATCCACTGGTTTTAGCTAGGTACAAATTCACCAGTGAACTTAAGTCACCAACCTCCTGAGACCTTCTGCTTTCTCATCTGAACATGGAAAGGGGAAGCCTCTTTAATAGTGGGATTTCAGGCACAGGCTGGAGAGAACACTAGGAGTGAGGAGCTCAGATTTCCACAAGCACCCCTCTGTTCACGCCACCTTCCTCTATGGCAGGCTGTGTCAACCAGATGTAACCTACCTTGGGGCTTTCTTCTGGTGCCTTTCCAGGGACACTCAGCACATGGAGCACCTGCCTAGCCAGCCGTACGTGGAACTACTGAATTAGACACTGCTATTTCTAGTGCAGCTCTCAGCCCTGGGTTCCCTGGACCTCTGGTTTTGGGCTTTGATGCACTGAGAGAAAAATGAGCCAGACCATTTACCATAATGTCTTCACCTTGCCTTGGCCCAGCTGGCTGTCTGCCAGGGAAGCTACTGCCAAGGCCTCGGGTGCTGAGGCTGGGAGGGGGTCAGTGGGGCAGCAGATCACCCCAGCCTGGGATAAAGAGAAGGTGCTGAGAGGAGACCTACTGCTCAGATTGATCACCCAGCCAGTCCCTCCCCAGAACCACAGTGGGTTCTCAGGGCCCTCTGGGGCCTATGCTCTAAGCACTGACAAACCTTTGTGATTATCTCAAGGCCTGTTCAACTCTTCCAGCTGCAAGGGAAGCCCAAGTATGTGTTTGCTTGGCCTAATAACTTACTATGTTCTCATCACTTTGTCTTTTACTTGGAATGAGTAGGAGGAGGCCATGCAAAGACTGTAAATGGAGGGCTTAGTGATGTGAGATGACTTTTGCTTGGCAGGATTCCTCTGACTTCTGGTTGAGAATAGAATGGACAAGGGTGGAAGAAGAGAGTCAAGTTAAGAAGCCCTTGCAGTAAGCCAGGCAGGAGAGCAAAATGCCTTGTCCCATGTGGCTGATGTAGAGGGACTGGAAAGGGTTGAATGTTGAATGGCTTTGGAAGGATTTCCTGATGAACCGAATGAGGAGTGGGAGAGAAAGCAAGCTGTCAAGGATGGCTCACGGTTTTTGTTTTTTATTTTTTTCAGAGCAGCTGAAGGATGAATTAGATCCTGTTCCTATCAACGATGATGATGATGACAAATCAATGCCTAACTTAAAAATTCATAGCTAATATTTTTAACTCTTATTAAGTGCTAAACACTCTTCTAAGGATTTTTGATTGTGAACCTCAAGGAGGGAGAGTCTATTGGGCATGGGTGATATAAGAATAATTCAGTAGAACTGGGTGATGAGTAGGTGATTTGGTGGTATCATCTCTTCTTTTCAAGATGATTCTTTTTCATTCCGTGTCACCAGATATGATGAGCACTGCAGTGGTACATGGAGAGGGCTGATTGAATAAGTGGCTATAATTCAGCTTGCCCATCAGTCCTCCTCGTGTGTGTGTGTTTGTGTGTGTGTGTGTGTGAATGAACACACTTGAGGTCTTTGGGGACTGTAGGAATACTGCCTCAAGGTCATAGCTGTCTCGGGGGGAGGGGCCGAGGTTCTAAGCCTCCAACACTACTAAGGCTACTTGTCTACTGATGGACACTATAAAGGCTATTTGTCTCCCATTTATCTCCCTTGAGTGCAGACCTAATAATTCTCCAAGAACTCCACCACCTTTCCCTTGTATTAATGCTTGAGATACATTGACGGGTCGTATCTTTCTAGGACATTTGCAGGCACACACCCCTTTAGTCGAGGGGACTGTGGAGCAATTGTACAATCCCCTTGCAATGACACTTTCAGCACCTTATGCCATGACTCTTTTTTACTAATAAAAAGGTATGATACATTGAACAAAAATACTATTCCAATGATACTCATTTTTAAATTATTTACAGAAGGAAAACCAGCATAGAGACAAGAATTAGAAACTTCAAGTCAGGAGATTGAATTTTACAGTTTACTAGAAAGTTCTCACTCCCCATCGGCTATATGAAAACATTGGGATAGGGCAGTAGCTATGCCGGTATTTTTAAACCAAAGAAACTTTTGTGCCTACCTTCTTTTGCTTGGGAGTGCAGTATATACCTTACAAAAAAATGGAGCTGCTCTGATGGAAGCAAGAGGGACATGCTCAGGGCAAACCTCTTGGTAAGCTCCTTTCCCATGCAAGATGACCCTGAGCTACCTCGGCTGAGCTGATGCTCTCTTGGGCCTTTCTGGCTCCGAGGTTTGGCTATGGGTACTTCCAGCTCAGCTTCTAAAGAATCCATACTCTCAACTCCCACTTCTTTCATGGATTTCTTTCCTTCATCTTCTTCTAGTTCCATAGCCACAAAAGAATGAAAGCACTTTTATCCTTAGTTCCATTCCACTATCAGAGTAGAATGAATTACCCAATCACATGTGATGTATTAAAAAGGGCCTCAGACAGATCTGGGTGCAAACCCCACTTCCACTATTCTGTTACTTTAGGTGAATCTTGGTCACAGTTGACCCACCTATAAATGAAAGTGATGATCCCTAGCTCATAGACTTGATGTGAGGAAAGACATCCTGGCAAAAAAAAAAAAAAAAATGGATGCCTGCTGAGCTGATTAGGTGGGCTCTTTTCCTCCCTGGAGCACCGAGGCCAGGCATACAGCTCACCCAGTGCCTCGGGTCTTGTCTTGCAGAGATGTCTGGCACAGCGGCGGACATCTCGCTGGTGCACTGGAGACAGCAGTGGCTGGAGAATGGCACCTTGTACTTCCACGTCTCCATGAGCAGCTCCGGGCAGCTGGCCCAAGCCACCGCCCCCACTCTCCAGGAGCCCTCGGAGATTGTTGAGGAGCAGATGCACATCCTCCACATTTCTGTGATGGTGAGTGACGGGGGAATGTGCTCGGGGTCGGGGATTGCGTTGGGGAGGAATGGGTGGAGAGATGGAGGGGGCAGGGGATGGTCCACAGATGGAAGGAAAGAGCCAAGCTCAAGAGGTTAGAATGAGAAACAGAAAATCAAATGGATTCTGTGGTGTCACTTGGACTGATGCATACCCATCCATCATCTGTCAGCTGTGAGAAACTAATTGTGCTTCAGAGAAGAAAATAAAGGGTCTCCAACTCCTCATCCTTTTGGCCGACATCTCTGGGAATAGCTGTTTAACACCTGTCACGTGCTTGGCCTGCTTTGCTGAGGGCTGAGGTTTGGTGCTTCAGAATACAACTGGCCATTCCAAGAATGACTGAACAAGCAAAATTGGAATAAAACCAGAACAGGCTGCCTTTTCCAAAGTGCCCTTGATGTGTCAGGTGTTTTAACCCTTACAACAACTGCATGGTGACCCTTGGAGCTGGCCTGGATGTAGCCCTTGCAGTGGTTCACAGAAGCCCCTGCATAACTCTCACTTTATAGTTGCTAATACTGTGGCAGAGGGGCAAAGAAACTTACCCAAGGTCACATAGCCAGTGAAAGATGCAGCTACTCTTGAGTGTTCAAATCCAAGCATATCTGGCTACTAAGCCTGAACTATGTCCTATATACCCTGTTTTCTCCCAATTCAAGAATTTCTTGAGTATCTACCAATTGTTAAGCACTGTACTGGACACATTTATGGAAATTATCTCTCACTCTGCTCTTGCCAAGAATGGATGAGGTCCAGCGAATCACCTCCACATGGTCGTAGAGAGAAGATGTGGCTGTCCAGCTCTGTTGGCCCCATGATACAGAACTCTGAGTCTGCTGCCTCCACCCAGAAGGTCACTAGGGCTGGAATCACTTGAGTCGTAGTCTAAAAGTATCTAGGCTTATATTATATGCTTTCTTTAAAAAGCTATATTTATTGGCATTGCATGGTAGATAGAAAAACAAAACCAGAAAATAAATCCAGTATGTAGGAAGCAGAGGGTCTAATGGGCTCAGGAAGAAACTTGACATCTTTCTGGTGCTTTATATTCCTCAAAGCCACTCTTACATTTACTTCTCCTTTTCTTCTTTAGTACGGCTCTGCCATAAACCCGAGGTTAGGAAATGGTATCTCCAGCATACATATGAGGAGGGTATGGCCCAGAGGGGTGAAGTGATGGGAATAAAGCCACTCAGCAAAGCAGAGCTACCTCTCACTCCTCATTTCTTCCTTGAATTTAACAATCAGCTGTATTTTTTGACTCTACAATGGAGCAAACCTTTAGTTTTAGTCTCTTTTTCATTTCTCTTTGATGAACGCTGTGCATTAGACACTGATTAGGGTTGAGTAAGATCTTAGAAGTTTTCTCTTTTTGGAAAAACACATACACTCCCCAGCCAGGCAGCAATGTTAATTTTGGACCTTATGCATGCTCATCACGTGGAGGAACAAATCAAGGCCTTTGTGTTATTCATGGAATGAGTGTGATAGACTTTTTCCATATGTATATTTAGCAAATGATGCAGCCTCACACCAAGCAAGTGGGTGCCTGCATGCTAAGTTTGGGGTGCAAATTTGTAAGCACCATCTCAGAGTGCTTGCTGAGTTCCTCATGGGGTGTGGGACACCACCTAATGTTAGGAAGAGGCTGAGAGACGTGAATGCTCTTCTTCCGTTAACATTTGAGAGTGAGACTCAGTTTTGACCAATGTTCGTTAAACATTTTCTGTGTTTCAGCACATTTACTTACATGTATCCTTCTTGTAACCCAGTAACCTAGATAGTATTATCTCAATTATAAATGAACTTCCAATGTGTCTTTTTTGCCTCCAGGCCCAGCATTAGTTTCACTGAATCAGACTTTCTCCCCAGGATGGTAGGTTTTCCTCAACTTTCCCTTTTGCTCAGTAAGTTTAGCTTCGAAATAATAACTCACTGAGGTCCAGATGTCACTGCAATTCCCTGTAGTTCAAGATTTGGCTGGCAGAGTAGGTAACGTGGAGGCTGGCACACTCCAGACCCTCCCCACCCATGAGCCAAAGTGGCCCAAGGCTACCACCATGTGTCCAAAGTTCCTTCCCCCATTCAGGGCTCCATAATCTGGATCTCTCCTGTCCCTGCCCTCCCCTCCCCTCAGGGAACAGAGTCATGTCTTGGAGACACTGAACCCCAAGGTGTTCCGCTTCTCAGAGGTGGGGCATGCCAAGAACACTGTTCTCTCTAGAGGTAGGAAGACAGTCATAAGCACAGACTTGGAGCACAGACTTGAGGTCTCTCTCTGACACTGAACTAGGGTATGAGCCCTTTGTCTTGTTTTTGTCATTTATAAAACAAGGATGGTACTCATAGTTATGTAGACACAACAAGCCCTCAGATCAGAGGAGCTTGGCACTTAAGGATATTTGTTTTTGTTCATAGGGGCACTTTAGTTGAAAAACTTGAGATGTGCTGATTTATTATACCCGTCTATTCTGTAGTTGGATACTGAGGTCTGGGACAGGCTAGGACTTGTCTAAGATCCCTCAGGCAGTCAACAGGGCTTGGCCTGGAGGTCAGACCTCTCCGTGGCTCAGACTCTACCCTGGTCGTTCTGGCCACAGACAATTCAGCAAGAACAAAAAGAGTGTTTATATTTAAGATGGCTGGGATCTCTCTCCCCATTTCACAGTTGAGAAATCGGAGATTCATGAGTTTAACTGATTTGCCTAAGTCTCCTGGGCTAATAAAATTGCAGTTCTGGGACCAGGATTTCCCCAGGATTCCAAACTTGTGTTTGGCTGTTCACGAAATCATGGCCCTGACCCTGCAGGATGGACTTTTGTTTTCATCTTTAGTGAAGATCCAAGGTGGTCTGTGAGAAGATCCAAATCTTCTAGTCAGATGTCAAAGAAGTCTGGCGGCTAGGATCTATGCACTTCATCCCTTTTTGTCAGCACAAATGTCCTGCTCACCCATGCAGGGAAACCAGCTCCCATTCAGCCACTGGAACCTGCTACAATCCATGCCTCCTAGGGTAGAGCCATTGTACTCTCTAGGCTTGTGAAGGCCAGAGTTGAGCATCTACCTGGTCCCAAAGGTTGCATCATCTGAATATTAATATCCCAAAAGGTGATGCAGCAAGGAGGTACTCTGAACCCAGTCCAGAAAGAGAGAGTAAACAGTCATCTCCATTTGTCTTCTGTCCCAGCTTCAGCATGCCCTCCTCAGCTCCTCAGCTCCTCAGCTGTGCAGGTGGCAGGATGCAGAGAAAAAAGCAGAGCAATGGAATTCAGCAGACCTGGCTCTGAATATAGTCTCTTCTACTTCCTGCTTCCTGGTCATTTTACCTTAGGCACATCCCTTCATGCCTCTGAGCCTCAGTTTCCTTATCTATGAAACCAAACTGATCATACCAATCTCACAGAATTATTGAAAAGAGTGGAGAAAAATTATTGAAAAGAGTGGAAAAAACATACAATGATGCCTAATACCCAGGCTGGCACATACTGCGTGCATAGTCACAAATGGCTATTAATAATGTCATTGAAACAATGTTTAAAGGACTCCAATTTCGGAGTAAAAAGACATTGGCTTTAGTCTTATATTTGCTGCTATTTTGCTGTCTGATCTAGAGAAATAATCATAATACCTGACATTTATTTTGAGTATTTATTATATGCCAGGCAGTGTTCCAAATTTTGTTCTCTGCGTATTATCACTTTCAATCCTCGCAACAAACCTTAAGGTGGATACTATCCCTCACCTGAGGAATCTGAAATGTTAATAAATACCTATCTACGTGACATTGATCACACAAAGGTTAAGTGGCAAAACCAATTTTTCACTCTATATATGCTGGTTTCAGAAACTGTGCCCTTCATCTATATAACAGGCCACCATTTTCCTTCTCTATGCATCCATTGTTGATTTAAATGATAAGATTTCATGAGTGAATTCTTACAAAGACTCTACCCTATGTGGAATCCATGGGTATTTTATGAGGGTTTATGACTTGGAAATCAACTCCAGGGTTGAACAATGTCTCTATCACTACCTTTATGTCCTCAGTCAAGTTACCTTCATCTTTTGTAAAACTGGGATAATATTCCCCAATACTTAGAGATGTTTTTCTAGGCACGGAATGAGATCACACTCACAAATGCCCTGCACGATGAAAATAATGACTGCTACCACTGAGAACTTTCTGTATGCCAGGCCCAAAGTGCAGCACCTGTATTATTTCATCTAATTATTCCAATGCTTCTATATGATAAGTCCTGTTGTTGCCCCTCACTTACAGATGAGAGCTAGGGAGTTAGTGGGGTTTTGGCATCTTGCCATCCGCATCACCAATAAGTGTTGAAGCTGAGATTCCAACTCTGGTTGGAATTGAGAGTCTGTGTGCTTGGGCCCAGTTCTGCATGGCACAGTCCCTGACATTCAGTCAGTGCTCAAAAAGCAGTAGCTGTTATTAAAATGTTAGCTATAGTGAGGGTCATCATGTCTGTTTATTTATAGAGTATTCACTCCAGGTGCACAAAACATTTGATAGAAATTGGAAACTTGTCAGTTAGGGAGAGGAGTTGCTTATGCCAGCATTTTATAGATAGGAGAAAAGAAACCCAAAGGAGGCTGAGTGATTTGGTTACAGGTGCACAGTCAGAGGAAAACCATGGCTTGAATCCTGGAGTGTACTTTGCATTGTTTATCAGAACAAAGAGGTTCTTTTAGTGTTGGTATTCTTATTTAGGAAGTGGGAAGACTTGACCTGCTTCACGCAGGCATGAGGAAATGCAATAAGTCCTAGCAGATGTGATCACAACTTCTTGTTTCTTTTTTGCATTTAGTTGTTTTTTTTTTTCATTTTGCTTTTTGTTGCCATTGCCATTGTCACATTGGCATTTCAAGATATATTTTACTTTTGCATAGATCAAAGTTGCTTTCAACAAAAATAGTTATCACTTGTGGTTCAGAGGGTCGGTCATATAATTCTACTC